GGAACGGGGAGGGGAGAGGGGGAGGAGGGGGATGAAATGTTGGGGTTTGGGGTTGGGGAAGAAGACATAGGTTATATTTTTTTTCTTTAATTTGGAAAGGAAATAGTTTAAAAAAGGGAAAAATAATAAAAAAATTTAATTTCAGGTGAATTTTTTAGTTTTCACGCGCCTCGTTTATGTGTAATACACGAGTATGACACATGGCAAAAGAGGTGTGTAATTGACACACTTTTAAAAGTTTTGGTGTGTAATATTATCTCCGTGTTTAACAAGTGTGTAAGAGAGATTTGAGTACAAAGTCGATGGGTAAAATATGTATTTTGCCTATAATATATTATTACAACATACTGTTGCAGTATATTGCACATTATTACAATATACCGTTACAGTATATTATATACTATAAATAATAGTATATAGTTGCATTATAGCTATATACTCCTACAGTGTATTGTATACCGTAATGTTATACTGTTAGGTAACTGTGTTCTTCTTCGATTATTATCGTATACCGTTGCAGTAATAGTATATTGTTGCAATATAGCTATATACTCCTATAACAGATTATATACCGTAGCAGTATGCTATTAGGTAACTGTGTTCTTCTTCGATTTTCAGCTGAAAGATTCGATCTCAGTCACCTCAAGTCAACTTCAAATGTGATCAAATTTCAATATGAACTTATAAGCAATATTTAATAACACTAATTTTTAATCAAACAAGAAAATTTTCAATTTTTTTTAGAGTTTCAAGCCAACAATGGTGGATATTCAAATACACATAAAAATTCAGATTTGGAAAGCTTATTCGAAGGTTAATAAGCAATTTTTTATAGCATCCACATCGAATCAAACAATAATCTTCAAAAAGCAAAGTCAAATTCAGGAGCTTCAAGCTCAACAATGGTGGGTCTTCGAGCTCAACAATGGTAGGTCTACATACACACATAAAAATTATAAGGAAAGGAGGTAAAACAATAGCTTGGGTTGACCCTTTTAATGAAGATCGATTTGGCAGAAAACAATTAGATTCATTCAAGTCCACTACCAGGTAAGCTTGCAAAAATGAAGCCAAATGTTTTTAATATTCTGTACTTTAAATGAGAAGGCAAATAGCTAATGAGTGGGTCGGATAAATAGTTTGAACGGCAAAGTTAAAAAAACTAAAAAGTTTAAATTTAAATATTAAAGGGTAAATTATTTGGACTTAAACGGGTATAAAGCGAGATTTTATCCCCCCACTTCGGATTTATCTGTCAGATTATGCGCGGATCGCAGGGATTTTAACACTTGTTAGTTTTAAAGATCCATTAACATGATTTTAACACATGTTAATGGATAGTAGTAAATTCTTTTAGAGCTCCAAAATAAATAAATAAATCTTTTAGAGCTCTCTCGCCGTCTCGCGCAACTGTAGATTTCATTCCCCTAAATACTCTCTGCAATTCAATTTGCTGAGTGAAATTTCAAAATTCCCTCCTCCAAGTCCTCACGTTTCCGCTTCTTCTAGGGTTTCCTTTCCCGATGAAGCGTGACTATTACGAGATTTCCGACGACGAATGGCCGGAAGACAATTCCTTCAATCCTTCTCGCGTCCTAAAACTCAACAAGCCTTCTTCTCTACCTCCTCCTATTGAGTCCTTCGCGTACTCCAAGAGCAACAATCACGACACCTCAAAACCCTCCAATTTCGTTGAACTGGTGGATAGCTCGTCGGAGGAAATTGGAGTCGGAAATGTGACGGAGAATTTGGAGGACGATGATGCTGAGATTGTGTCCACAGTGAACCAGAAGACGACCAGCCGTGGCCGCCGGAGATTCGTGGTGGATGATGAAGATGAAGATGAAGATGAAGGATTGAACTCGAATGAAGACGAGCAGGATATTGAGGTTTTCGAGGAGATTGATGCTTTCGAGGAGAGTGAAGAGGATGATGATGTTGTAGGGAAAGCACTGCAAAAATGTGGGAAAATATCTACGGAGCTTAAGAGAGAGCTTTTTGGTACTGCAGCTGCAAAGTTTGATTCCTACGCTCAAGTGGAGGAGGCTTCATCACTGAGAATCGTGACTCAGGTAGTATGCTATTGAACTAGTACATTAAGTTTGAGCTTTAGCTGTTGTAAAATGCTGTATTTTTGTCTGTGATTGAAACGTTTTTCACTTAAGGATGATATAGACATGGCATGCGGAGAAGGAGATTTGGAATTTAAGCGAATACTGAAACCTTACCAACTTGTCGGAGTCAATTTCCTCCTTTTGCTGTATAGAAAGAAAATCGGGGGAGGTACTTCTTTATTGTACTTTGTTTTTAAAAATTTATATCTTATTATTTTGTAGCATGGACCTGTTGTCTGAGTTGTGATGATTTCCTTGTGAAGTTAAGTTTTTAGGAGCTGATGTGGTTAAATTATTAAGAGTTTTTCTAACTTGGCATATGATCATTGTGTCTTTTGATGCTAGATTAAGAATAAATTTTTGTCTTGATTCCCTGAAATAATGGAAACTGGCACATTCTGCTTTCAACCTCCAAATAATTGAACCAACATTCTTATGAACAAAATACATATAAGGGGTTGTTTGATTGGCTGCATAAACAAAACAATCTCAGAATAGAATTCCGCGTAAGTAATGCAGTATTTGGTGAGTTGCATAATATGCAGTGTTTGGTTGATGGTATTAAACTCCGCATAACTAATGCAACATTTGGTTGGTGCTATTAAACTCCATGGTGGTAACGCGTGCATAGGTTATACTCGAATACATGCTATTTTATGCGGAATAGAATACAGAGTAAGTGTATTAGAAGTACATGCATAAGAATAGTTAAAGACAAATAAATCCCTTGAAGCAGGCAATTTCTGCAGCCTCCATGGTTTTGGTCTAGTGGTAAACGAGCAACACGTGATGTGCGAGTTTGGCGCACACCGTGAGTTGAACCCTGCCGCGAACAAAAGCTTGGTATTTAAGTGGAGAAGGATAGTGGGGTGGGCTCACTATCCATCGAGTTTTGGCCCTTGGCAATTTCTGTTATTATAAAAAAAACCAAAAAGTAGGCAATCTCTGCACGACAATCTTTGTATTATTGCTCAATGTATAACAGTCCCTACATTATTATTCACGTCATAACAATCCTCACAACATTATTTGCCGCATAAATGATCCCTAAATTGTAATATCTGTATAATTGGTCAGTGAACCAGACGATCTGCAAGTGTTTCTCAATATTTAAGTAGTCAGAAAAAGCTTAAAGTACCTTATTCCATTCAGTTTTTAAGTTATTCATATAAAATGACAAGACTGTTGCTGCTCCATATATGTTTTATATAGTGAGTCTGATATGTTTAGATGCATTAAACTTTTTTAGTTTCCAAAGCATTTGCAGGCACACTACTCTTTTCCCAGTTAGGTTCACAAATGAAACTCAGATCACCTAAATATCCTTTATCCCGCATGGACTTGATTGTAGCGTATAGCAATTAACCACTACCAGCATTTCTTTTTTCTGTACAGATAGAAAGAAAGCCTAATGTTTCTGACTAAGATATGCATTGCTACCATATTATACTTGACAAGTGTACATACATGCATCCCAATTTTGGGTCCTATGCCTAAACATAAAATTTTTGGGGCTGGTTTTATGCAGCTATACTGGCTGATGAAATGGGTCTTGGTAAGACAATTCAGGTATGCCACAGTTTTAACTTTTTATTTTCTCTGATTGATGCAGATATTTTCTTTTATCTCGACTTTAAGTGATAGGTAACACTGCATTTATTCATCTTATTAGGCAATCACATACTTAACGGTGCTGAAACATTTGAAAGATGATCCTGGTCCACATTTAATCGTTTGTCCTGCCTCTGTTTTGGAGAACTGGGAAAGAGAGCTAAAAAGGTGGTGTCCAAAATTTACTGTGATCCAGTATCATGGTGCTGCACGATCAACTTACTCAAAAAACTTGAGTTCTCTGGCTAGGACTGGACTGCCACCTCCATTTAACGTTATCCTAGTGTGCTACTCACTGTTTGAACGACACAGGTTTGCATATTATTTTAAGACCTTAAGTTTGCATTGAAGTGGGAGTATACCATCTAACTGCTTGTGGTTATGTATTTTCTAATCATTTATAGCTATGAGGTGTTTTAGATTTCATAGTTCTGCTTCAGAATGAAGCCTCTGGTATATGCTTTGAAAGAACTGCCAGAACAAGTGCATTCAAGTAGCCCCAGATAGTTTGCTTACTATAGATTTTTTGATGAAGTGACTGAAAATTAGATTTATTTTGCAAAGGCTAGCTCAAATACTGGTCTACTTTTCTTAGTGAAGGCTACAAGAAAATCCATTGTTAAGATCCTCAGTTTCATTGTTGTTGAAAATTAAATTTCATTGTTCTATTCCTGAATATGCTCTACTGCTGCTCTTTCCATTGTAAAACTCTCAGATTTTAATTTCATCGACCTTTGGTGAAAGTTGAGGCAATGGGAAAAAGCAAGTCATTGCTACTTCTTGGAGAAATTCTTATCCTACGGTTTTATGGAAGAATAATATTGTTGCAAAGGGGAATCCTATTTGCCTATGTGAAAGTCCCCTGTCTTCTATCTAGTAAACATTTGAAAAAAATTTCATGTCGAATTTTCACAATGCTAAAGATGACAATTTCATCGTATTTCTTAGTGCATAGGAGCTCACTTTTCAGTTTCTGTTTATGTACTTAGTCGTGATTGAGCTGTTAATCTATACAAAATTTTTTTATTTAATTTTTTGATTTTTTCTTTTCTAGTTTATGTTAGTATGATCTTTACCGCAGAAGATGGAATTTTCTTTTCTAAATGGTCCCAACTTGAGAAAGATCTCTTAATTTATAGGAAAGCAGAAGAATGCTGAGATGCAGAAGATGTATTTTTTGAAGACATAGGGGTGTACATGTAGAGAATAGAAAATAAATTTCAAGCTATTTGCTAGAACTGCCAGAGTACCTAAACAATTCTCTTGCACATGAGCTTTATTAGGAAAATAAGTCTTACTGAATACTTTCGAGATATATATACTATACTAGGGGATATGATAGAGATATGTTTCTCCTAGTATGGTGGACGAAATGTAATCTTCAATTTGGTTTTAGATACTTATTAATCAACTCTTTAAACTTGCATCTACGTATGGAAAAGAAGTCTTTAAACTTTCATGTTTATTCAAAAAAGAAAAGGATCTTTAAACTTTCATGTTTTAAACAAGCCTAGCTAGTTGGTACTAATCTTTGTCATTGAGTC